CTGGTTCTGGCCACCACATTCTGCACACAAGACTGCTACTGCTGTTGCTGCTGTTGTAGTAGCAGCCTCAGTTCCAGCAGCAGCAGCGCTGTGGTGTGGGCTCCCTCAGAGCCCTGCCTGGTGCCTGTTTGTTCACCCTTCCCCCAGATGTTACTGGACATAGGACTGCACCTGCACTGAAACCAGTGTAGCATCACCTTTGACAAAATGAAGGCTAAAACTGTACAGATGTGTCATCTGTCCTTAGCTTATCCTGAGGTAGACACTGGCACAAGGAAAACTTGCTGTCCTGCCACCTTGAGGCATTGTAGTAACATCGACTCGGAGCAGCTGTCTGCTGCGAATAGCTGATCCCCTGGATCCTGATGGATATAGAGCAGGGGCAGGCAATTATTTCAGTTGGAGGGCCACTTAACAAGTTTGAGTGAAATGTCAAGGGCCACATGGGTAGCCCCTTGACATTTGCCCCACACCCCAATTGCCATATTGGGACTGGAAGTCCTGCCCTCGAACCCCTGACTTTTGCCACTGGAAGTCCCTCCCCTTGTCTCCCAGAAAGACTCCTTTTGGGAGGGGAGGGTTGCCATCTTGGAACCAGAAAAAAGCCAAATCATACACTAAAAGGCAAACACCTACGTAACATATTTTAATTTAATTTACAAAAGTATTTGTCATGATCTGTGTTTGCATACTGTATATAGAGGGATTACATAATAACTCAAAAATAAAATCTTACTCTTGTATATCATGTGGAGGATGTGGTTGGGACAGGGGTGTGTATGGTGGGGTGTGTGTGGGGGGCATAGGGTATGTTGAGAATGGGTAATTGTGGGGGAGTTGTGTGGGTGTGTGAAGTTTGTTGGGTATGAGGGAGGTGGGGGTGTGAAGACCCGACAAACTCCCCCACATGGCATGCAGTTCCGGCTGCTGGTACCAGCAGCAGGCAGGGGTGCTTGTGCCCTTTGTAGGCGCTGGCACCCAGGGGCATGCGGCTCTGGTCAGTGCTGCATATGGGGGCAAGAAGCACAGCCTGCCCGACCTACCTCTGTTTTGGGGCTGTGCATGGCACAAATGCAGCTCCCATACTCAGGTGACACCAGGGAAAGCCCTGCGCTGGAGCCAGCTGCCTTCCCCATCCCCTGCCATGTAGGTCCTGGGACTGTGCTGGGAAGCAGGGGCCATGGCTCCCCTCCACTTCAGGCAGAGTCCTGGGATCTGTACAGCAGGGGGCAGAGAAAGCAGCTGGCTCCAGCGCAGGGCTTCCCCTGGTGCTGCTCAAGTTCTGGAGCTGCGCATGCACTACACAGAGCCCCCATGATACAGGCAGGCTGTGCTCCTTGCCCCTACGTGCAGTGCCGTCTTGAGCTGCACGCCACCAAGCGCCAGTACCTGCACAAGGCAGGACACCCCCACCCGCTGCTGCTGCTGGCAGCGGGGGCTGTGCGCCATGTGGGAGACTGTGTGGGGGCCTCAAATCCCCCACCCTCCCTCACACCCACACCCTACCCACCCTAGCTCCATGCTTCTGCCACCTTCCTGGGTGCAGGCTCCATGCTGCCACCAGCCACAGCCTAACACTCCCTTTCCCCACCCAGCTGCAACTCCCCCTCCTGCCCCTGCCACCTCCCTACCTTTCGCACAGAGTGAACGGGATACCAGGGAAGCGGAGCAGGTCTCCCCCAGGCGGCTGCAGCAGCAGCCCCTCTGCCAGCTGCTGCTGGCTGGGCCAGGCCCTTCTGCCCACAAGGGTGGGAGTTAGGCACAATAGGGAATGTTGGCGGGGTGGGGGTGCACGTTGGCAGAAGGGCTGTGTGGGGTACAATTCGTTTGCATACCTGCAAGCCAAATAAAAGTACCTGGAAGGTCAGATCTGGCCCATGGGCTGTACTTTGCCTACCCCGATATAGAGTATATAAAACTGACGTAAGTTACTCTGCTGGAAAGGTGCGGTCTCCCAGCACCATTGGTGTCCATGGAGTCTCACCTGTTCAAATGGTTAGCTGGGATTTTTGTGGATTGCTCACTTGAACTTGGCCACAAAAATTGAACTTGAGATGCCTAAGTCCTCCTTTTGAATTTGGTCCCTAATCTGTTTTTACCTTAATAGGAATTTCTAACTTCCCCAAGTCTTCTCCAGTGTCATTCTCCTTACATGCACAGTTTGTTTCCGTTTCCCTCTACAGAAGTGTCTGTTTTCAAACCAGTTCTTTGTCATCTGTATAACACAAAAGGAAATGTTCCTTTCTTTCCTAATTCAGCTTCTGAAATAAACCACTTGTGCTTTTCAGGGGGTAGGAGCTCTGACAAGGTGTTGCATGGGATGCTCGATGCTGTACTCCCATACTTTTCTGACTAGTATACCTGCTTGTTAGAATATGTAGTAAGTTTGTCGTTAGCTTATGTAGTAAGTTGTGTATTTGGTCTATTTTTACTTTCCATATTATTGCCCTAATATGATACATGTTATATGAGAAATAAAGTAAAATGTCACATAGATATGCATTTGGACGTGACTCAAATGTGAATAGAAAAGAAAAAACATTGGCTTGGAAGGGACATCAGGGAGTCATCCAGTCCAGGGTTATCCCTGTCTAAACCAAGTATACAGGGGCGATGTGGAGAGGGTACACCGGGGTGCACATGCACCCCCTGTCAGGCTGCACTCCATGGTTAGCCAGTGGGCAGGGGGGCAGGCAGGAGCACCAGTGTCCCCACTGCGAGTGCTGGCTGGGAGCGGGGCCGCCAGCAGCAGTGGCCACACCACTTCTGGAAGTAGCTGTGGGAGTGAGATTGGTTGCAGGGGACACCCTTACCCC